CCCCCCCCGGGAGGAATGAAATGGCTGGCATCTGGAAGTCGGGGAGACCGAGACCACCAGCAGCTGCACCTCAGTTTTCCCAAGCCGGTTGGCTGCTACCACACCTCTGACGCACCGGGAGGCCTTGGTTTCTCCATGGAGAAACCAAAATGGGGATACAAACATCCACATCATTTCACTGTTGGTGATGAATGGTTAAGAAGAATGTAAGTGCTAAGCCCACAGCCGGGCACCCGAGAGCTAACTTCACACATAGTTTTCCCTTATTCTCTTTAGTAACACCATAAATGAACCAGAATCCAAAGAACTCAAACCTTTGATGAGCTGTCCTCAGCCTTCCCTTACGTGCTCCAGCCTTAGAGTCCAAATAGGAATGGAAACAAGCAGGAGTTAGGAATCGGTTCAAAAAGGCAATGTCAGGCAAGGTCCTGGGGTCAGCGTGAACCCACCTTTCTACAGCCGTGGAACCATGTTGACGGGCTCCATGGCTCACAACACCGACCCTGAGGGCCGGAGGAGACCACAAATGCGCAATTACAATCGGAATGTCCTAGTCAGTAAGGCGGACACGTGTGTCCCTAGGCGTTTCCACAACAAGGGGTCACACAAAATGGGGTCTCTGCTTAACCCTCCATTAACCCAAAAATCCACTTAAGCAGCACAGCCTCTTCCCTAAGCTTCCGCTTGCCCAGGCTCAGGCTCTAATTGGCCAAGGAACGGTCCCATCATTTTTACAAGTTGCTTGTTTCAAACTTTGGTACAGAACAGGATTTTTTAATTTAAAATTTTTTATTTTATTTTAGAGAAGGAGAGTCTGCAAGTGGGGGAGAGGGGCAGAGAGAGAAAGAGAGAGAGAATCTTAAGCAGACTCCATGCTCAGTGTGGAGCCCGACGCGGGGCTCTATCCCAGGACTCTCGGATCATGACCTGAGCCGAAATCAAGAGTCAGATACTCTACCGACTGAGCCAGCCCGGCACCTCTGACAGAGGGCTTTTCACGGGGTTAGAAGAGGCCAAGGGTAAACTCAGACAATACCCCCAAGTAACCTCACGTTGCTGAAAACAACACCGTGACCATCTCACATGGCGGAGCAGACCAGGTCAGGTACGAACCATGGCTGTGAGTGGGCAGAAGAATCCTCTTTGCAAGCGGTTCAAACCACGTTTGCAAAGTGGGTGGGTCACAGAGTCAGAAAAACGTCTTTGCAAAGTCACCTCTCATCCAACCCACCCTTCGCCGCGTAGGTGCGTGTGCCCCACTGTGCAGGGGCCTGGCAATGGCAGAGACGCTGAGCAGCCTGGGCTCCACACCACAGCCGCTTCCAACCAAGCAGGAGAGGGGACGGACA